AGTTCAAGTTTGAATTAGAAGAAATTAATGACTGAAAATTGTTTTTATATTATGAATTTAATATTCAAAAATAGGTATATTTTTAAATTGTGGTAAATGTGGCTCTGTCAAACAATGTAATAGAAAATTAATGAAACCAGTAACGTAAAAATTCTCAACGGAAGCACAGTTTCGTTAAAAAATTTGAGGTTATGTTCAAGTGAAATCCGTAATTTTTTCATTAAAATCTCATATTTCCTATTCACGAATGACTTCGTTGAATATTGTACAAGATTGAGGCACAGAAAAGAATTGCTGTTTAAATACTTCCTCTTTTAAATAAAAAATTAACATCGAGGGACAATAATCCCATTAATTGAATTTAGAATATTTACAAATTGCAGAATTTTCTTTTGCAAGAAAGTAGACGCTCGATTAATTTTTCTAAATATTTCTACTTGTTTATTTGTTCGAATAACTTTGAATCAAATAAATGGAAACCAGCCTTCATCGATTAACTCTTAAAAAGCTATATAAACTTGCGAATTATCATATCGACACAGTATCGCTATCTTTGAGGTTATGATTCTTTCTGAATACTTTCCCTCAAAATTTCGCGTTTGCTCTTAGCGCGTTTGAAGGTAGAATTGGTGTAAGTACACGGACGACAGGATTGGAATTCAAATTTATCTTATGGTAAATGCAGCCCTGCTCTTAATTTAACCTGTTAAATTTGCATAAATTTGTAATTAAAAACAGATTTAACAGCTTGTTCGAGAAAGTATTGAAAATCTTATAAACGACTGCATATCTTTCTGTCGCCTTTTAAGAAGTAGCTTTTCCTAGTTACTTAAATAGGAGCTGCACTTTCTTGACAAAAATATTTCAGCTGTAAACTCAGTGCCACTCTTATAACTTTCCATTAACTTTACGACGTAAATTCGTCGAATATTTCCAACGAAAGTGCTTCCTTTTTTTTATATACGTACCTTGTTCAAAGATTTGTGGAACTAATTAAAAGTTTTTCAAGATGCTTGAATTTTAATCTATCATGTTCGAGGAACATATTCTTCAGAGAGCTGTAATTTTAATTCGATAAAGTGGCAAGTTTTACATAGCTGCTAACAACTTGGACGTTATCTTTCATTGTGACAAATTTTCAGTGGCATTAATAGTTTTTTAATTATTTCATCTAGAGTTTTTCGAGAAAATTCGAAATTATTTTCCAAGAGCTTTCCACAATAATTCAAAGTTATTTTCCAAGAGCTTTCCACAATAATTCAAAGTTATTTTCCAAGAGTTTTTAAAGAAAATTCGAAATTATTTTCCAAGAGTTTTTAAAGAAAATTCGAAATTATTTTCCAAGAGTTTTTCAAGAAAATTTGAAATTATTTTTCAAGGGTTTTTCAAGAAAATTTGAAATTATTTTTCAAGGGTTTTCCAAGAAAATTCCAAATTATTTTCCAAGAGCTTTTCAAGAAAATTCCAAATTACTTTTCAAGAGTTTTTCAAGAAAATTCGAAATTATTTTCCAAGAGTTTTTAAAGAAAATTCGAAATTATTTTCCAAGAGTTTTTAAAGAAAATTCCAAATTACTTTTCAAGGGTTTACCA